TGTTGTTGTTGTTGTTGTTGTTATTGTTGTTGTATTATTATTATTTATAATTTGTACAATTAACCTCCCTGTGATTCGACCCCGGTCTTGCCGAGTTATTTATTACTTCGACACTCATGCACTTAGGAGAAGACATCAATCTTTTAGTCGTGTCATCTGTTAGCTTCATAAATCTCTTTAAGGCTTGAAACAAGCCCATTGAGCTTGGTACATAAAGTTGAATGATTATCTTCTCTTTATTGGCTTTCATACTTGCAAGGTTGATGCATCTTTGTTCATCTTATTTATGGGCTATGAAATCTTTTCTCTCTTTATTTATATCAATGTTATTTTACTTATTGGAAGTAAATTTGTTTTACTTCAACACCTAAACACTTTTTTGAGCTCAGAGTTCAAAGTTTAGGATTTAGGTTATTCCATTATTTCTTGAGGATTGAGGTTACATCTACTAATATGACTCTCATGCTTAATTAGCATAAATATGTTCTTGATATTCTTTACAGAGCAGGCATGTCATCTTGTAAACATGTGCTTCTTCATCAAAGTTAAGTCTGTAGTCTAGTGATATGTTTTATGATCCTACTCGATTTCAAAAAATTATTAGTGATCTTCAATATCTAACCTTTATTAGGCCAAATAAATGTTATACTATGAATAAAGTATGTCATTTTATACATGCTCCTACAGAAAATCATTGGGTCAAAATACACTTTTAAGTACTAATCACTCCTACAGAAAATCATTGGGTTGTGGTTAAATGTGTTTTGAGGTATCTGAGACGTATGATTTCTTATGGTTTACACATTACTCATTATTCCTTTCTATCTTTTCATGATTTTACTAATGTTGATCAGGCTAGTATTGTTGATGATTATTAATCCATTGGTGTTTATGTTGTGTATTTTAGCAATGCTCTCATTTCTTGAAAGTCTAGCAAATAATGTATTGTTACTCGCTCCTCTACCAAAGCTGAATGCAAGGTTTTAGCTAATGGTGTAAACCCCCAGCTTAATTTCTTGGTATTATTAAAAATTTAAATTTTAGCCCAATATTAAAATGAGTTAATTAGAAAATAAATATAAAGATAGTAAGTATATTGAGATAAGTTCTTAAAGATTTAAAACTCCATGTATGTAATTTTAAAAGTAGGTCAGAATAGGATGTAAACCCTAGATAAGATCTATAAGAATAGTGAAGTAAATATTATGTTAAGTAAATTGAATATTTGCACTAGGAGGGATGATAATGGATTTTGGAAATTTGAAATAAAATGATTATGTGATAATTTTAAAAATAAAAATATAAAAATAGATGAAAAATAACAAATACAAAAACACTAATAAAAATTAAATGGAAGTGATATATAAGGAACAAAAGGAATTGGTATATAATTTAACAAAATTCAAAAAAACCCAGCTTAAATTTGGTATAAATAGACAATAAAATCTCAAAAATATTACTCGAAAAACATAAAAGGATGTAAATAAGAGATATACTGGGAATTAGCAAAATTCATATGTGTGTGGGGCCGGCCTTGCAAAAAGAAAAGGGAGGAAAAAGAGTTCTTCTTTTCTATTAAGCTTGATCATTTTAAAACCTAATGAAAACTAAATATTAGAGGGAAAAGTGTGAGATTGTGTTAGTATGAACACTTAATCATTTAAAATTAGAAAGATTAATGATGAGAAAGTACGGAGTTAAAAACAGAAAATTAGGGAGGTGAAGGAAAAATAATAAAGCTTGAAGAAATCTTGGCTGGTTAACTTTTAAAGTGCACATTATTGCATGCCTAGCAAAGTGTTTTAAGCTTATTACCTTATATTCTGTATGTAATTCAATGTATATATAGAAAGAGACGATGTCTTACAATATATTTAGCCTCCTATTATAACTCAAACTCTACGTGATATCTTCTCTACCTTCGAATAAAAAAGTTCTTGATTTTTCATCCTAAATACTATAATTTTTGAAGTTGCCCCTAAATAATAAAAAATAATAGAAAAGCCCAAAATATCCTCTTAATTCCTCTCTCTTCCTTTACAACTTCTAATAAATAAATAAAACATAATCCATTCTCAATGAAAACCCTAATGGAAATGGTATTTTCAATTAATCACATTGTTTAGGATGAAAATCAGAGATTGTTTTTTTTAAGGAGTCATTTGTTTTTTTGAATAAAATCGAGGGTGTTTCTTTTTTGACAATTTGACCTGGAGAAAACTTCTTTTTTTTTTTTAATGCACAGTAACCAAACTCTTTTATGAGCTCTATAAATTCCCCAACAAATGCTGCTTTCGTTGCGCTTCCATTCTTCAAACAAACATCCTGAAACTCTTTACTCTCCCTCTCTCCATATTTCTCTGTAAAAGTGCCATAAGCATCTTGACTCTTTACCCAAGGCCTAAAGTTCACTAAATGGCAAGCAGCACTGCGTTTCATCTTCTTGTTCTTTTTCTTCTATCAACCATGCAGTCACCTACAAATGCAAATTTGGAAGGTACACATGGGTTTTTCTTTTCTTTCTCGTTTTCATTTTTCATCGACAGTACTGAGTATAGTCGAGCTAGCTAAATGAATATTTTTTTGGTAGCTTTCTTGATTTTTTTTTCCTTTAATCCATGAACTAGGGGATGCTTTGTACGCTTTGAGGAGAGCAGTGAAGGATCCAGGACATGTTCTCCAGAGCTGGGATCCAACCCTGACAGATCCATGTACGTGGTTCCACGTTACTTGTGACGGTGATAATCGGGTTACCCGACTGTAAGCATCTTATTATCTACTAATCTTCCAGCATCATGTTTCTTCTTGTTCTTGTTGTTTTATTTTTGTTGCATTTTATTTGACCCTTTGTGCATGTATGCTTAAGTTTTTAGTTTGTGTTTGTCTGGCTGTTATGTCATGAAAAATTATTGCCAACTTGTTTGCTTGTCAAAACCATTATTTAGCCTATAAATAGCCAAGTATCCAATTACTTTAGTTAATCCACCAGGAAATCTAATTAGGCACTAGAAATAAGCCCGACTACCATATTCAATTAATTTCCACGCATGCATCTTGCATATTTGTACATGATAATCTCGAGGACGGACGACCTTTTCAAACATGATGTTTAAAGATTATTATAGTACTATATCCTTGATTTTTTTTCTTTTTCACAACTCAAAATCTTTGAAACAGATTGTGTGACTCTGATATGATAATAAAGGAGAAGACAGGAGAAAAAGCATAACAATAGTTGTAATTGTGTATTTACATGCTCATGTAAATTCAAGAGTAGAATAAATTTTGCTCCTTTAATGTTTGAATCATGCATTGTATTTCATCTCTTTTTATGCAAATATATTGACCTTAATTTACCCATGGCTGCTAAGGAATTTTTTTTATTTGTGTTTTTAAAATTAATTGCAATGGAAATAATAATTAACACGACATGAATAATCATTTGTTTAATTGGCACCGAATTAATTAACTCAAACAAAATTATAGGAGCAATAAATTAATGGCGAGTAAAATAATGGTTGTTGCAGAGACCTTGGAAATGCAAAGCTTTCGGGCAGTCTAGTTCCTGAGTTGGGGAAACTCGTGCGTCTTCAGTATCTGTAAGCATTTCACATTATCTACAGAATATAAAGCTGCCTTGGCAACGCCAGGACCTTCTTTCATTTTCTTAATTACACAGATTAAGTATGCAACTGTTTGATGTTTCGTTGATTTGAATGGAAAAGAAGCCCATGCTTCGATACCTTAATCATTGCTAAAAGCGTTAGCTTTTGTGGTTCTTTGTAAGAACACTAGAAATTGGGTTGATAGTCTTCTTGATTAAGAGATGAGTTTGTTCGTAATTTATTATGGACTAGATCATTACAACAATCACGATATAGCATCTACCTTGCCTGCCATCTGGTGGCCTTGTGATCATTTGGACACTGGTGGGATACTGGTATTAAACTTGAAGTGATTAATGTTCCCTGTGTAGGGAACTGTACATGAATGAGCTGGTGGGTCCTATACCAAGGGAACTTGGAAACCTGAAGAGTCTTGTGAGCTTGGATCTGTACCGCAATAACCTCACTGGGACCATTCCTGCTTCACTTTCTAAGCTATCCAGTCTTAAATTCCTGTAAGCTTTCTCTCATCTGTATTAATTTTAATTAGCTGCCAAATTCATTTACCAATACGCTTGATCAGAATCAAGAGGATGGTCGTCATTAATGCTGTCAGTTCCTTTCCACTTGCATTACTACCTTGCTAACGTAGTGTCACGTAATTTCCATGCAGGAGACTGAACGGCAACAGACTGACTGGAAGGATACCAAGAGAACTTACAAAATTGGACAGCCTAAAGATCCTGTGAGCCTTCTTTGTGATCCCCAAAACACTTTTCTTCTTCTTCACAATCTTTTGCCCCTGTAACAATCTAATCTGTTTTGTATGCAGTGACGTATCAAACAATGATTTATGTGGCACCATACCTACCTCAGGTTCTTTCTCCAAGTTGACAGAGGAAAGGTAACCAGACTAATTCGTTGGTATCAAAAGCTTTCATTTAATTTCTTTGTTTGAACGTCTTTTAATGTTTTTTTTTTCTTGGTGGGCTCTTTGTTGCTGGTTGTTTGAAGCAGTTTTGCGAATAACTCAAGACTGGAAGGACCAGAACTGGTGGGATTTGTGAGATACAATGCTGCTGGAAGTTGTAAATGACAGACCACTAAGAGGCAGCTAGTAACCTAATTCCATATATTAACTCACTATATGGCAATGGTTGTATGTTTGTTTACTCCTAAAGTTATTTATTAGATGTTTCTTATTAAAGTCATATAGCAAGAAATCATGTTTATGTTAATTAAGAGAAGAATCTCCAGTCACCATATCTTGCAGTCACTTTCAGCCTTCAGTTAGTGGTAATATATTATAGAGAATACATATAGTCAATTCCTTGATGATCGATATCGACGAGATGGCGTACAGATAAGGAGGGGCAAACCATGCCTTCAGTTAATGGGAGGATTTTTTTTAAAAAAAATCTTTGTCAAGTCAAGGAACATTGTGGGACATGATTGCTTTGGGACAACGACACCACCCAAGTAAACATGCTACAAAATGTGAAATGTAAGATGATCTGTCCAGTTAGCGATCCACTAGACTACTCAACTCAGCTCTATGCGAACTGATCCTTACTTTAGGACAGTGATATGACTCCAGCAATATTGTTTCAAACAGGTTTTGCCAAAGTCTTTGGTCAACACGGATCTCAGGAATGATCTATGGCTGGCAGTACTTGTCCTTTGTGGGTGCTAACGTTGAATAGCTTCAATCCGTTTCTTTTCAAAGATGGTGCCTCTTAAAAGTAGCTCTTAACCATTCTTACATTGGCATTTATCGAGAAAATAAAAAAACGTACGCCGTCCGCTGTTCACAGCTTCGGATATGTCCATCAAGTTTGGGGTGAAATGCGAAATTCCTCGAAAAGGGACAGTACTAACAACGAAGTCGAACCCCAACTTAATGGATTACTGGAAATTCTAAAATGGCGGAATCTTTCATGAAGAAACCATTTATATATTCAACACATTGAACTGTGCATATCATCATAAGGATCGAATTCATTGCCCCACGAAAGACCAAAGATTTCAAAATCAACTTTTCCCAAATCGACCACTTGCCATCAAGATCTATATATATAAATGACATCTTTAAATCCATTTGAACCATTTCCATCTCATGCATTACCAAAAAAAAAAAAACCCTCAAAGAGCCCAGCTTTCTCCTGTGCACTGTGAGTAAAACTACTTAGATTCAAGTCATATTTTTGTCATTTTATCCTTTATAATTTAAATTTTATAACTTGCGCTGAAGGGTAATGGATAATATAATATTTTTTATGAAACCCATTTGGTATTACAAGATTGAACAGGGTAAATGGGTTTTTTAAACCTTTATTAATATAGAATAATATCAATAATATTCTCGAATATTTACTTCCTTTGGCTACCCAGGCAAGGATGTTTTTGGTTTTTTTTTTTATTCTAAAAATAATATAGTTACTTAAGTGCCATTTGACTCGAATAATCTTTAGCTAAGATTGAGAGGTTTTTTTTATCTTTTTTTTTTAAGTTAATATTGTATAAGATCAAAAGCAATTTAGTATTTGCATGGAATAAATTAAAAAAACAAAAAAAAACTGTTGACATATGTGGGAGATGGCCATGCCCTTTGAGCAGCGCTTGCGGTGCCTCCTCTTAGAAGAACACTACATGTTAAGGTGGCATTGGATACATCTCGTCGCCCCTTTTACGGTGGTGAGTTGTGTTTTTCCGTTCCATATATAGTGGAGCTTCAATGATGTTTTTTTTCTCTCTTTATTTTCTCTCTCTTCAGCCATAAAAAATGTCTTACCCTTGCAAAAAATCAGAAATATATGTTATTTGTTATTTTTATCATATTTTGTCCTCCTTTTTTTTAATTGTATCAAGCTACATTTTTTTTTTTTAATATGCATCATTTGACCTAGCATTTATCTACCTATCTATCTAGCGATCTCTTATAGTGCCTCCACATCCCATTCGAGCTTTACTTTACCTACCCATTTATATACTCCATCCTATCAAACACTTTCCTTAGTCTCCACATTTTTATTGAAGATCCAAGTTTTTTATAGCATCGTGTTATGAATTTTAACGGTGCCTCCGAGTTAGAGGTTGAGATGATTTTGGATTAGTGATGGGTTAGGCACTAGATATGGTTATTTTTGGAATTGAAGTTGGTTACTGGATAATGACACCATACGTCGTCTTCAAATTCATAACAGACACGAGGATGGAAGGGGTTGCTGATATATTATATAAAATGTCAGGGAGGTAGGTGTCAAATACTAAAAGGTTTGGATAGTGCTTGTAATTCCTTTATACTCCAGGGGGGTTAGTGTCATTTACCCTTGTTTCTCTCTTTTTACGCTCATGCAAAATTTACAGATGATAAGGCTACGAGTCACCCCATCAACTTCAAACCAACAAGAAAATAAATGGAATTTGCCTATTAAATCCAAGGAGAACAAAATTTTGTCACCGATGAAACTCTGGCCAACCACTTAATTGGTTCATTCCAAGTGCTCGTCGGTAAGGAATAAGGACTGGATTAACAAAGATAAACATGCAAACATATATAAAAACAATAGACAAGGATTATATTTACAGATCTACACCTGTACCAAATGACGAGCGAATCTTCTCAGCTCAGCTTTTGGTTGCTGAATCTGATGCAAAGCTATCGCTACAAAATTATAGAATCAATCGGCACCTGCAGACACCAAATGTACTGATATTTAGAAATAACACCACATCTTCATAAAACAAAACAAAGCTGGGATGCATGAGGATGTATACATTAAAAACCAACTTCATTTCACACTTGGTGCATATACCTGTCTGGCTAAATAACTCAAATTATGTATCCTCCATGAATTATTTAAAAGAAATATGACAGCTGATGAAAAAAATATATGAAGCAGTTTCTCAAAAGCATGCAACTTGTTCTCATTTGGACTTCCACTAGCATAAGAACGGTTTTATGTGATCCACAAAAGTACCTAAATCAGTTTGATGGTGATGTGCGAGTATAAAATACCCTAAACTAGACAACCATACAAACGCATTGGATTATGAATTACCTCTGATTTGAACCGTCTGATTGACAGTATGGGAACTGGTGGATGATGGGTAGTTGTTACATAAAGATATCGGGGTTAGAGGAGGTGAGGCAACATCCTCAACAATCCCTGAACTCTGAGCGACCATTATTCTACGACTTCTAGAGGGTATTGAAAAACTGCGAGCGACAACTTGAGAAGGTGTGGGCAGTTGAGATGCTACATTTGACGCTGGTGTTTTTCTTGTTCCAGGATGCATGCGACCTTTGGGCAACAATGGGGTTGAATGACCAACCAAACCTTCAGCCCTTGGAGACTTGCAGGTTGAACTGAGTGGGGGTCTAGGAAGCTCATGTAACTCACTGATTTTGGGCGGGGACACAAAAGTAGGGGAAGCACTAGGAGATACTTTTGGTGATCTTATTGGAGACACTTTTGGAGGTGATAATAATTGAGTCGCTGGATATCGAAGAAGGGATCCAGAGAATAATTGGGGATGTTCTGCTGAGATCGGCTTGGTAGACAATGGCTCGCTTGTAATCGGACCAGAAAAGGCATATCTTCTGGTTTTCTTAGAATCAAAAGCAGCCCATGGTTCAAGCCGTGAAAAAAGGTGTCCATCAGCTAGAGGAGGAGGTAATCGGGGGGATGCCGTGTTGTTGTTGCTCTCCTTGAGTACTGACTGTGAATTTTTACTAGTGGGTTTGTTAGACATTTCAACTCCTAATAACTTCTCAATTTTTTTTTGGTCGAGAGGGGATGAATGCCACAAATTGGGCGTGCGTCTGCTCAAACTTGTCTTTAGTGTTCCAGAAACCGAGCTACCAGATCCTGTAGGATTTGAACTCTTAGGGTCTGCTGGGGTAGGCAATACATAAGTGTTGAGCTTTCGTGTGGATGATGGCGTCAGTTTTTTTGTTTTTCCAGCTGGATCAGATGTAGTTTCAGCAAAAAGTGGAGCTGATTGGGTGCCTGTCCGAAGTTCTCCTTTAAATGAAGACGCTGTCCTGTAACTTCTATCTAGATTTTCCTGCAAGCAATCCAAATCGGAGTATCAAACTCATCATCAGTCAAAGATCTGAAGTTCTGGTATTGCATTTAAGAAAATAAATTACAGCAAACATACATGTTAGAGCTGGAATAGTGCAAGATATATAGGGTGCTCTATGGGAAGCAAGAGTGAAAGATTTTATGTATCAGTCAACTCATCCAACCCAACTCATATGGGAGATCTTTAAATGCATGTTCAAGCGGATATCTATAAAAGATATTAAAAAATAAATAAATTATCTGACAGCAGAAATATGGACATGCATTGCATTACATTACTTCCTATTCAGATTCTCCATGCTAAGGTTTCATACTGATTTGAAAGGTGACTAGTTCAAGTACACAAATTATTGAAAAAGTTCAACCATGCAAGGATGGTGAAATAGTGGATAGTAGTTCTTAGATAGCCTGGCCAAACAGATCAGGTCACTCATTAACAGGCCTACAATTGCATAACACAGATATGAAAACAGCATGATCACTCTGAATGCACAAGTCCATAATAAGAAGGTTTACCTTTGCCATCTCCAACGTCGCAACTTGGGGAAATGTAACACCCGCCAAATCCAACTGCACAAATTGTTATACAGAAAGTTGAAGTTAAAATGAAATGAAAATTTCACTGAAGTATGCATTGGTAGAAAAATTTGGAAATCATGATAAATGACTATAAACATCATCTTGAATTGTTTAACCTGTGGAATAAGTTTCAACACAAACAAATAAGGCAGAAAAGTCAATCCATAGAATTCTGAATTCATGCACTAGCAACCACAAGTTTGCAAATTTTGCAAATTTCATTCTTTCAAGGCAATGATATTCATAGTATCCTAAAGCAAAATGCATAATGGTTGCTTTTCTGAAACAAAATGATAAGTTGATTAGCCCGGCTGATGAAAAGGGAGTTGAACTCTTACCTCCATCGACTTTTTTGGTGTGGAAACTTCTTGTTCCTGGTCATTTTGTCCATAGTCAAAGCTCAATTCTCCATCATCATTGGCATCATCATAATCTTCATCATCATCATCAACATCATCTCTCCCATCATCATCAAGTCCACTAAATTGGTAATCTATATGCTGCTGTTCTGTGACCAATTTGACATGCGGCTCAACAGCTTCAAGAGATTTAAGAGCCTTCTTAAAAAAGTACAACTGCTTTCAAGCAAGAAAGCATAGTTAACAACTAAACCAACAGTATGAAGAAAAAACATTGTTTGAAGAATAAACCTGAGCAGCGTGGTGCCGAGCTGCCTGTGTTAGAAGACTGCGACATTGTCCTTGCTTCAGAGATTTAATACGAAAAACAAATAAAGTTGCCTCCTCATCATATTCATCATGAGCTGCTTGTACTTGCTGCATAGATTCACTCTCTCCCTTTCCACTTCTTCCCCTCCCTTTTTCTTTCTGTCTCACCATGTACTCATATACATCTCTGTAGACACAGTAGCATTGGGAGATGAAACTTATCTTAAATTTCTGGGCTTTCAATTTTCTTTTCTTTTCTTTTCTTTTTTAAGTGTCTGGGTGCAAGTGTATAAAGGTGCTTCAAATAGTACCACGAACCTTTTCTCATCGCAAAGTCGCTTCATCTCCTGTATGAATGAAAAAAGTCTTAAGCAACTTCAGTAAAACGCTTGAATTACCATATACAGGATAATAGTAAAAAGATTAAATTACAATGATACCCTTAAGGTATTATGAAATTACAAGAACCATCCAAAAGTATGAAACTTTGACAAAAACCTTCTATTACACCTAAAATACCTGTAATTACTACTTATAAAAGAAATACTTGCATAGAATTAAAAAATATATATATTTGAGAGAATATTAAAAAAGAAACTTAAAACAAAATTAACTGAAATTAAATATTGATATTAATATTATTCATGTCCTAAAAGATAATCATGTCCAATTATTTTATATTCTCTCTCTAATTTTTCTTAATTTTTTTATTTAAATATTTTTAAAATTTTTAATAAAGAGCATTTTTGTTACCAAAGAAAGTTTTTGTAATTTTTTATTAAACATTGAGGGGGTTTTTTTTTGTCAAATCTTAAACTTTTGAGCGGTGTGTGCAATTTCACAATACCTCAAGGGGTTATTGTAATTTATCCTAGTAAAAATAATAAAATAAAATGTGCAAGCATGTGCACCGATTTCAGTCATTAAGAATTTAAGCATTTTCCAAGGATAGTTTAAGATAAAAGTTATAGATAAGTCTAAGATATCGAAAGCTTGAAAGAGGTACCACTAACATGAACTGTTTGAAGCTCATTCAGAAGAGACTCTGATGGGCTTATGATCGTCTTGTGGATGTGGGATCGCTGAAAATATTAAGCAAAAAATCAGCAACACAACAAAGCCAGGATTCGTTGCAATTTTTATTCATAACAACTCACATAGCAGTCAACAAGTTTCTCGAGTTCAAATTGCACTTTTCCCAGCATCAGCAAGACTCTACCTGCAAAGGAACAGATCCAACTTCAGCTTCTCTGTCTCCTTTTTGGAGTGCAACTACATGTGAAAGACTACATGTTCCTAAGGAATAAATTCAGTGAATTAAAGAGGCAGTTATTATCATTGCACTAAAGTTTGTTCGAATTTATTCGTGTCATTTGGAACTTGAAACAGCATCTCAGTTAAAGCTGATGAAAAAACAGGTTAAATGGTTGATTCTGTGTCAAATGCACATGTAAATTCTCTAGCAACTTAAGTAGATAAAGCAGAATCAATTTTGAACATAACTTCAATTAAAGAAAGGAAGATAATAATAAAAACACAGTTTCCAAAGTACAGATTTACAAAAAGATGTAATTACTGAAACATAGTATAGTACTCTAGTTAGGTCTCTGGATCCATAGTATGTACAAACACAGCAATATATTGACAGTGAATTATGTATTTCTCAGTCAAATATGATTATCTGAAGCATAGATCAATAGCAAAGGATTAAGAAGGTTTAACTTTATATATTTGTTGCAAATGTTGCTAAAGTTATAAGAACGATACACTCAGATGTTACTATAATGCTGAAAGGAAGTCCCAGCTAGTGATTTTCTTTTAGCTTTTAAAACCAATATTAAGATTATTAGCAAATTAAGACTCCCATTATCTGTTCATATTATCAAGCGACTGAAAAGAATTATATAAAAGTTTCATTAACTTACGGCCTTCTTCATCATCATTCGATGCAGTTTTCTCGAGAAGGCAAGCACCCATTTCACGCACTGATTCTGAGAATTCTGAGGAAAGATGGAGCGATGTAAGAGCATTCTAGAATCACACACCAAAAAGGGATCCTCCAACTCAGGGGATCCCAATTAACACCTAAAACACTGTGATGTTCACTAATGAACTCATTTTAAAGGTAAAGCTGACAATCTCCAAACCAGAAGGCCAACAAGAAGTTAGAATGTTGGAAATGCAGCGCCATGTGCACAAAATCAATTATTACCGGTTACTGTTCATCTGGTGAGAATCTATTGCAATGTAAACTTCCAAAGCAGATTTGTCCTTTGGATAAGATTGAGATGCATGGTTTAAATCAGTCATTGCATCCCAGGCATCACATAACAGTCACGGCAGTCACATTCACAGATTATTAGCAACTTAAAAAATTAAGTAATAAACATATATTTTTAATAACTTTAACAAGGGGACACTGTAGTAAATACTTATCACAAAAGCAATACAAGATGCTAAGTAATCTTTTAAGCTAAGTTCATACCAATAATTTGCAAAATCAAACGCGGAAGCAAGTTGAGGTATTAGGATAAGATCTTAAAATGATCACTAGGATGTCTAGTTTAGATGCGAAATCTGAAGAGTGAAAGATTCATCTTGGTGAAATTACTAAACAAAATTAGAAGTGAATGTGAAGAATTGTTGGAGGAGACTATCAATGACAAAACCAAAAAAAATGGCTCAAAACTGAGGTTTTCCCTGGCATTTACATCCTGAACAAGCATGATAGCTCTAATGGTAATGTAACGGTCTGTGGTGGTGTGAAATGAAAAAAATGCCACAATAGCTGTTTGCAAAATTATAACACTCTGCCTGATTTCCATTATGTCAAGTGTCAGCAGCTTTCTAAATCCATTTCAGCAAGTACTCCATTATTTAGTATCGTATCACCAGTACTATGCAAAAATTTAGTTCTTGCCACTTTGTTATGCATCAAGTTTGTTCATGAGATTGTGTATTCCTCGCATGATGTAAATGTGGTTCATATGATATAAATAACTCCATATCCAGTGCTACCAAAACAGAACCAATACGATATTTAAATCACAACTACTAAGGCTTTACTTAAGGAGAAGGCAACTCCATCCCATTTCTAAATGTTTTGTGCTGTAAACCATAATAATTCGCTTTTGCAATGTTGCCCTTGGATGTTAGTTGATGACAGGGGGGTGGGCTTCTTCAATCACAGAATAACGTTGCTATTATAGCCAGCACATTGCCTTTAAAAAACTTCTAGCTTCATTTTTCAAGTATATGGACTTCATTCTAATTGCACCTTCTCCTTTCAATAACGGACTTTCCACCAAAACTTTATCATTATTAGTTGCACTTCAAATTCCCAAAAGAAGAAGAAGAAGAAGAGGAAGAAGAAAAGAAAATTGCAGTGAATGAAAATGATTTTTACCCTTCATTTATTAACCGAAAAGACAACTTGATGGGGAAATGCGAACTGCCCTAGTAGACTAACAATCAAATGATAAGGCTAGTAAGGCTGTAAATACTCGGACAATAAAAGAATAGCAAACCTCGTGCGCCTTTTATAAATTGATAGAGACATCAGTGGAGAAGGAATAAAAGAAGAAGAAGAAGAAGAAAGAAGTACCATAGGCACAATTGGCAGTCGCGGACGCAGCAGAAAGTAAGCTATCATAGCAATCTTTCATGTCCTGCATGTCCTGAAAATAACAAAAAGCAATTAATATTTTATAAGAAACAGAAACCCAAGTGATCACAATAAAGTGACTAACTTCCATCATTACAGCACTTTTATAGCTTAAATTAATTGATTAATTAATTAATTACAGCTAATTTATTCATAAACCGAACTGATCATTCTTCATTGCTTTGTTGCAGTTGTTGTTGTTGTATCCGAACAGACTGATGGGATCAAATTAAGCTTGGAATTCAACAACAAATAAAAGTTGCAATTGACAAGCACAAAATGTAAATTACGTACAAGTAAAAGGAAGTAGTTTTCAGGTTGTGTCTGGTTGGAGAGAAATCAGAGAAAAAAAGAAAGGAAACAAAGCGATTAACAAAGGTTTGAAAGGTTCAAAAGCTACGCGATAATTTATCAATTTCCGTGGATTTCTCGGCGACCAAACGAACGGTAGAGAGAGAGAGAGAGAGAGGAGTACCCGATAAGCTTTAGCGAACTCGTCTAATTGAGCGAGAGAGGGAAGATCCCTTCGGTCTTTATGATCACCACCATGTCCATGTTTGTGCAACGCAGCAAGTCCTCTCAGTTTCCTCAGGGATGATTTCATTTCCTTTCTTTCCTTTGACGAGAAGGGAATTCAATTCGTTCCTTCTTATTGTAGTTGAATTCCAAAATCGAAGAGCTTTTATTTATGGAAAACTGAGATGGGAGGACGAAACGGGAATGAAATACTTAACACTCCCTCTTTTATTGTTTTTAATCTATTTGTGGAGGAATATCTAGCTGGTTTCGTCGGGAACATAAAGAAAGAGGCGAGAGAGATGATCAAGATTGATTGTATTAAATATTAATAGCCATTTCTATTAAATTAAATCAGCTATAAAAATAAATAAAAAATAAAATAATGGACAACTAAATTTAAAATTTTTATATTGGTCTTCAGGGTTTAACACTGACTTCAGCACCCAGCTATTTATAAGTATTTAATGGATAACGACGTCCCGCGTTCAAATACCAGAAAATTAATATAGATATTCTGAGGACAGTAACGTGTTGTGTTCTTTGTTCTTCGGAAGTTTTCCACCCGACGCTTTGAATTTCTTTTTTTTTTTTGTTCTATCATTTCTTATTAATTATTAAAATTACAGAAGCCAAAACTCAAAAGACTCGAGACTTCTCTCGTCAACAAAACGTGTTCCCTGGTGTCCAAGTCATCGCATCTTCTCGTCTTCCTTAACCTTTCACTTTCTCTCGTCATTCCGAGTCAGTTTCTGAATTTTTAGAGAATGAAATCTCATTTTTTCAGGTCTCACTCCTTTTGCTTTGAGAAGTTGAAAGTCAAAACAAATTGAATACCTAGACATGTGATGCGCATATAATTAACAAGTTTAACAAAATCTTGAGTAGAGTATATATCTAATTATAGACAGAAAATATTGCAAGGGGAATTCATTACTTGTATTTTAGTAGATGAGGAGTTCAACTGCTCGATATCCCATTAGTTGTTGTCACTACCAACATCTGCTGAGAAAGGTTTGCTGTGCTTGAAGACGAGGGGAGTCGCGAACGATTCCACCGCATACTTCGATTAATATATACATGTCAGTGTGATGATGATTTCTGTCTGCGTAGTTTTTGCACTGTTCTTCCACCTATGGTTTGGGAATATATGTGTGTGATCATTAATCTCCAAGATAACTTCTGGGGGTGTTGTTTTCATGATCACGAGCAGGTTTATGCACGGAGGAACTGGTCTTTTAGCTGCATCAAGGCGGCCCTTCCAGACCCCTCCACCTCCACCTCCACCAAGGGTGCCACAATCGCCCAGATCTACATAGCCATATGTTAGGAACTTTGGCACAAAAGATCAAAATTACAGGGAGCCTTTATCATAACTTCATAAGCACTTATAACTCGCACAGTCGGTTGTGTCCTGGTAATTGTCAGATGTGTGATATTTACTGTCTCTTCACAGATGAATAAATAACTTTTTTTTCCTTAAATAAGGACGAAGGAAAGTTCAAATAAGAGGCCAATTGATAAACTTTTCAGCCAAGTTTTTCTGCTACCTTTACGATCAGCTTCATTGGTGATGACTGTAACATTCTCTGTTCTGAGGGAAGGAACTAGTAATTTTCTTTTGATGTTTAGTGAAAGACCAATTCGTACAGTGTATTAAAATTCAGTGAGTGCGCAGGACAATTTAAAATGCAAAGAAGAAAATTTGTTACCGCAGGAAAAGCTCAGCTTAAACATTAAATACCCTTTCCAGCTTTATCTTACCATCACGTTTATTCGCTTGGTACAGGTTAATATGTTTTTTAATGAAATTTCGGTGACATGTTGGACAGATTCATCTTAATTTGTTAAATTTAAAATCTGGATTATAAAATTATAATAATTTTTAAAAAATAAATCAAAACTAATTATAAACATTCATTTCTAATTAATTCAATATTAAAAGAATAAATTAAAAAAATATACTAAATTATTAAAAAAACTAAAGTCAGCCCAGATTAACTCGTCAAACTAACAACTTAAATCATAAAATTAGAATAACGCCATAGAAATAAATTAAAATAAATTATATAAAACTTAATTTTTAATTAACTTAATGTTGAATGATAAAAAAAAAACAAATTAAAAAAAAAAAAAAACTATTCAAGTTAACCCTAGTTATCTTATTAAACATGCGACAAGGATAGTGAGATCAAGATAACTTTATGAAAATAAATAAAAAATTACAAAGCTTTATTTTTAATAAATCCAATATTAAACGTTGAAATTGAGAAAAAAAAAACTAAATCCATAAGACTGGGATAATTCCACATAAAATAAATTGAAAAAAAAAATTATGAAACTTAATTTTTAAATATCCTAATATTGAAGAATAGAATTGAAAAAAAAATTAAAAAGACTAAAAAAAATCAAGTCAACCAGTCAAACCTCCAACTTAGGTTATAAAATTATAATAATCTCATAGAAAGAAATCAAAAAATATTATAAATTTTGATTAAAAAATAATCAAATAAAAAAAGATCTAAAAATTAAACAAAGTCTATTCGAGCCAACTTATCAAATCTATGATCCAAGCCATAAATCAGGATAGCTTTAGAGAGAGCAAATAAAAAAAAAATTATAAAATCTGGTTTTCAACCAACTCAATATTAGGATTTATTTGTTTTGCGTGAAATATTTTACAAATAAATATTTTTCAGATTTTTCTGTGTTTGTATTTTAAAAAATATTTTCATGTGTTTATCTCCCATAAAATATTTTACAAGAAAATTAATCAATATAAATTATTTAACAGTCAACCTTCAAAGTTAGTTTATTTGTTGAAAAATATTTTCAACTCGTAAAATTTCATCAAATATTTTACAAATAATAATTCATTTACAATATTATCTAATTATATCAACAACCATTATCTTCACCATCTTTTCTTTCATCACCACTATGACCACCTCACCTACATGTTTTTCACCATTATCAGCGTCATGTGACTACTTTCCTCCTTTTTCACCATGATCACCTCCAAAACCACTATCATTGTTATGTCACAACCACCATCTCATCACCGCCACCCCCGCCCTCATTACCATTAATCACCATCACTATTATCACCTCACCACTATTTTCTCCACCAATACTGTCATGTCACCATCATTATCATCATCTCACCACCATCATGACCATCTTCTTTACCATCATCGTTGTATCATCACCACCAGCACTACCATTAAAAAAATATTTACATGTAAAATATTTTTCATTGATAAAATATTTTACAGGAAACAAACATACCCTCCAAGGATAAATTAAAAAAAAATCTAATAAAAAAAGCAAGAAAAAATACAACTTGAGCTAACCTAGGCTAACCTATTAAATTGACGACATAAATCATAAAATTAAAATAAATTTATACAAAGCAAACAAAATTTTTTATAAAACTCTACTTTCAATAAATCAAATATTAAAGATTGAAATAAAAAAAAATCTATAAAACTAGTATATAATCTAACAGAAAAAATCTAACAAATTATAAAAAATAATTTTTAAAATAATTTAATATTAAATAATAAAATTAAAACAATAAATAAATTACGGTGTTAAAGAATAAATTAAAAAAAAACTAAAAAAAAAAACAAATTACTATTCTAGTGAATAATATTTCATGATGATGATTATCACATCCTTTATTATTTTGTTAATTTTACGAGTAAATTATGAATTAATTCCTCTAATTAAAAAAAAAAACCCAAACTAAATAGTTTTTCTTGTTTCAAAAACTAATCACTTAGTGTTTCAACTAGTGCTAACCATGCTTAATGACATTACTTTATTAAAAAACTGTTTTCTTTTCTCATTTTTTTTTATATTATTTACTTTTATTTGTGCTTAGCCAAAAAGTAGAAGTTACCACAATACAAAACTGTTTTTAAATCAAGCAACTAATGAATTTTTTCATTTCTGCAGCTAAACAAAAGTAGAATTTTTTGAACATTTAAAAATTTGAACTAATTAAGTTCATCCATGTTTTATTTACGAGCTTACAATAAATGATTAGATTAAATGATTTTCTAGAAAAGATACTATGAATTTTTTCATTTCTGCAGATAAACAAAAGTAGAATTTTTTGAACATTTAAAAATTTAAACTAATTAAGTTCATCCATGTTTTATTTAGGAGCTTACAATAAATGACTAGATTAAATGATTTTCTAGAAAAGATACTACACAATACACAGTTTATCACAAGATTCTGAAGTACCAAAAAGAACACCAAAAATGGATTAATATCTAGTGATAGGAATGGCTTCGGAGGGTTAAGCGCAGGCTGTAACTGCTTAGATTATATAACTCAGCATTTGTGTAAACAAAAACCAAAAGAGAACATGTATTGATCTCCACGGAGACTGATCTTTGTATTTCTTACAATGCTAAACAGAAACGCAGATGAAACTTCTCGTATACGTGCATATCACACATAATATACTTGAGTAACACCCAGAACACATTGATTTCCTATACAGATGCATTGATGGGTTCTAAAACTTCAAGATGATGTCACAAACAGCATGTAATTCTTCAGCTTTTAGTGAAAAGGGGAATCGAAGTGATCATATGAAAATAAATTGAAAACATAACAGACCTTTCGAAGAAGAATGCACTCTATAAAAATCCATAAGTAAATTTAATTCTTGGCTTATGTGTGGAAATGGGTTCGTATCAGGTACCAATTTAACAAAACAATGACAAAAATTCCAGCTGTCATCAACACACTCCATGTTATTCAATGAGCTGTTCCTCCCCACTAGTAACAAGGGGGGAAATGCACATCTCTGAGATTCCTGAAAGCATCATTGTTTGTCATTATGAGAATAATAAAATAAAAGTGAAGAGTTTACACAAACTATTAACAAAATCTCACCAATGATGAGCAAACAGCCAGCAGTAAACTAACCTGAATTTAGGATGTGGTTTCTGGACTTCAATGAGTATACCATCAAGCAGCTGCAGCCAATTACACAGATCTGTAGCAAGCTCTCTTTGCTGCACGAACAATATCCTCAACCTGCACATGCAATGAACCAAAGATAAATAGCCCAAAAATACAGCATGCCTGATATGTGCATTCACACAAATGAGTGAAAAGACTATAGCTATATAAAGAAGGAAACAAAAGGCCATTCGTGGACAAGCTCATGTTGCATAAAACTACAGCTCCAAAAATCACCACAGACAAGGATTGATTATATAGTGAAGATTGAGAGGGAGGGGTTCATTTGGAGATAAAGGATTCAAGGGGAAAGAGCTTCTGCTGTGAGGAAAGTAGCAAACAAGTGTCTAATATCATTGATAAAATGTTTATATGGATACGGTTTTATGAAAAGTTGAGGCATCTAGCTGATCAATTGGTTTTGGAAGTCCAGTGGAAACAGCGAAGAATTTTAGACATCAAAGGTGGCGAGCACATCTCCGGCACGCACCAGAAAATGATCAAACAAGAAGATTTGAGATATAACACCCAGAAAAACTTTTTTTAAGAGGAAAAAAAAGATGAAAAAAGAAACAGCATACCTGTGGCACAGCCAATCTCTCTAGATTTGCGGCATAAGGCATAGGAACATCAGCTCCAGCAATTCTCTCAACTGGGGCATCAAGATAACCAAAGCTCTCTTCAACAACAGATGCACTGCTCAGGAAAAGGCAGATTATGTAAATATGTGGGAATAATTTAGCAGGAGAGGTTAAATATAATAGTGGAATGAATACTAACCAGATTTCAGCACCAACACCATGCTGAGGAAATCCTTCTTCAACTGTCATCAGTCTGCTAGTTTTCCTGACTGAAGCATTGATTGTGTTTGTATCTAGTGGCCTAATTGATCGCAAATTTATCACCTGCATTAACAAGATTGGTTATTTTTTATCATCAGATCTGAAAGTGCTATAACCTATATAGACTTTACAGTCCTCCTAGTATCAGTTTACCTCAGCACTGATTCCTTCCTTTGCAAGTATCTCAGCAGCCTGTGAAACAAAAAACTGTGTGATTTAAAGGTAGAAGCTACATGAAAAAAGAATGGCACAAGAAATTCCCCAAACATATAGCTTCATACCAGATTGTTAAACACATTCCATCTATACTTAACAATAAGTACCGTAAGATCAATCAGGGATGCGTCCAAAAAGAGAGATTCAGCAAAATAATAATGTAATGTCACATGATAACATTAAATTAAGGAACAATAACAGCCACAACTCCACCCAAATTCAACTTCATCAGTTTAATGCAACGCCAATCACTAAAAGAAGCAAGCCACTATTATAGATGTCATCTCTGTTCCTCCTTATAGGCAGTGGTAGCAAAATATTACAACAAGAGAGGAAATAACTCCTGCGCCAAAATTCAAGCACATTGATTTTTGGGCATATTTACTGAAACTGCAGTAACTTAGATGAGCAGTCGATCATTTGCCTCACACAATACTAATTTGGTGCCCCAAAAAAAATGTTTCCCAAGGAATGTCAACTTCAGATTTACAATAAAATCTTCTATTACACCTACCAGCTAAATCTGAATTGATCATAACAAATGCAAACCAACATATTTGTTTTAGAACATTTGAAGCACAGAACAAACCTTGAGAGCATAGCCAACCATTTTTGAAAAGGCAGTAATGGTCACATCCTTCCCTTCTTTCTCAATCTGTTGAGAGTAAACAATTTGGGGGCAGATGTAAGCACACCAATGATAATTGAAGAGCATAATGAAATAGCAGCTAACTGCAGAAACATTGAGAAGAATAATCTTTCAGACTTGAGGGAGGAATACCTTGGCTTTCCCTATTGGAAGGCAAAAACTGGAGTCGAGTACTTCAGCAGAAACAGGGAATGTCTCACCATATCTGAATCACAAAAGATTGATCAACTTGGGACATCAAGCATCATGTAAACATAGCAAAACATAATGATCACCACTTGTCAAGATACTTACAATAACTCATTTTCAAGGAAAACAACAGGATCAGGGTCCCTTATGGCAGCCTTTAGCAGACCACGAGCATCTTCAGATGAGTAAGGAGCCAGTACTTTCAAACCAGGGCAGGAAGCATACCATGCAGCATAACACTGAAAAGGAGTAAAAAGGGAGTGTCATTGAGCATTTAGCCCTTAGTAAACAGAGTTACAATCACTACTCTGGACATAAACATACTATCTTCTCACAATTTGGCAAGTAACATAAAAAAATTTATAGTGCAAGAGAAAAGTGCATGGCATACTGTCGCCCAAACAGTGGCAGAGCTGCTCTTTGAGTAGGGTCAACTCAAAACATTTGACTTTCAAATGAGAGAGAGAGAGGAAAGAAAATGAAATTGCTCACACACAAACACACACATAGAGAACTTGTTAAACAACAATAATTATTCCCTTTTTCCATCATCAAATACTAGGAATCAATAATTGTGTTTGAAACTTGAACCAAGATTATCCTAGAACAAGAGAACGCTGTTGTTGTCCTCTCCAAGATTTAATATGATCAATTCTAAAGCCAAAATGATGAGACATAAAATCCCAAAAAAACATGCAACATCTTTTCAGAATGGTCTGGAGCATGAAAACAATGATTTAAGCCACCAAGCCATATAATCTAGTATCAAACTAACAAACCATCTTTCACACAGGCACAAGATAGGGAAAGGGAGAGGGGGTGGGAGGGGCAGTGAGTGAGAGAGAGTGTGTGCTTGCAAAATGACAGATGGATAAGAAAGCACTTCAACCATACATGAGAGTGTTGGGCACCAACTCCAGCGGCGGCACCATTGGGCCCTCTGAAAACTATGGGCACTGATATCTGCCCAGCAGACATATAATTTGATTTTGCAGCCGAATTAATGATGTGGTCAATTGCCTGCAACAAAAGCCAAAATCTAGAACTACTAAGGATTATTTTGTTAAAACTTACAGCAAAAGAGATCTGAAATATCACAGAAATATACTCTATCAACACCCTAAAATACATTTAATTGATGTATTATCTGGTGCCCAAACATTTATTTGCCAGTATTGAATTAGAAAATCTCCTTCCACAAGGTATTTATAAACCATACGCAATCCTACTAACCTGCATAGAGAAGTTGAATGTCATAAACTCAATAACAGGCTTAAGACCATGGTAAGCAGCGCCAACTCCAATGCCAGTAAAACCAGCCTGTTAGACATGTAAGAAAAGCAGGTGGTGGTCAGCCAACAACCATCACCAAAGAAATGAAACAAAAAATCAAATTCCGCATTAATAAATTAAAGAAATAAAATCGACCTCTGTGATTGGTGTATCAAGAACTCTCTCAGGACCATACTTGTCCAAAAGCCCTTTGGATATCTATGGAAAATGAAACATTCAAAGCGAATGGACTGTCAGACTTTTCAATGGAAAAAATTAAAATGTAAGAGAGAGGGATATCAAAAAACATGAAAAACTTCAAATTTATATCATTGGCAAGAAAATCTGACCTTATATGCACCCTGATATTCACCAACCTGCATTTCACACAAACATAAAACACATAAGACTAGAAAATATTGAAACATGAAACTAGGGGAAAAAAGAACTCCATTTTAAAATTGGAAGTTATTCTTACCTCTTCCCCCATCAAAAAAACCTTAGGATCAGCAGACATTTCCTCGTCAAGTGCAGAGTTTAGCGCTTCTCTAACTGTCATCTGTGCATGATTATCGAATCAACAAATGCAAAATCTCAGTTTATCTACTCTGGAAGAACGAAACATACTACACTAAGAGATAATAACAACATTCAAAAATGGAACTCCACACCCCAACAAAGGGGAAAAAAAGAAGGATCCAAAACCTCAAATAAGACTAGAAATTAAAAAAAGCCGAACGTTAAATTCATTAAAAATTACAATGTAAATGAAAAGAGGGCTTTGCATTTACCTCTTTTGCTGCAGATGAATACCCCAGCCATGCCGATACCGCAGGGCGAATCCTCTGCCCAAAAGCCTACACACAAAACCCAAAAAATAAAAATACAAAATCAACAATATTTTTTTTTTAAAAAAAAAAACAAAATAGGAGAACCTCCGGCATTCACCTTTTGCCTTATAATCCCCAACATCTTCTTTCTTTCCTCCTTTCAAAAAATGCACTAAATTCCAGAACAAAACGAAATGATTCAAAAGCTAGATTTTAGGATAACATAAAACAAAAAAACTTAAAAAAATCAAAGCGATAAGGAAACACACGTCGTAAGAACACCTTGTTTAAGGCGACGATTAACAAATTAACTAACTAAATTTTTTCTCACAGTTGGAGCGGGATCTGATGATCGAAACAGCCACCACCACTTTCACTTGCTCTTTTTCTTTGCCTTTTCCTCTCTTTCTTTTTTATCTTTTATTTATTATGGATTTCCTTTCCTTTTTTTATTCAATTTTTTATCTTTTATTATAATTGGTAATTACTTTGCACACTTGTTTTATTTTGGTGGGTGAGGCGGGCGCTAATATTGTTATCATGTTATGCGTCGATTCATTTATTCCACGAAATACAACTGCGACGTTCCTTGTAGGAATATTCTCAGTGGAAGCCTACTTCGTTATACGCTTGTGAGATCATCTCATTTGTGGTCATGATCTCATCTTAAAATGTTGGGGGGGGGGGATCGACGGTGAACAATGCTGACTGCTTAGAGAGGATGTCAGGTGCCGGTCCTACCGGATAGTTTCTTGTAACAAGATCTCGCTATTAAATATCTTTAATTTTTTAAAATATATATATAAAGAAAAAAATCAGAAGGAAAGGGGGTTTCATATGCGTTTGGAAACTCAAGGCGTCAGGTCGAAGGAGAAAATTCCAGACCAGGTATGCATTTAAATTTATGGAGGAACCAAAATTGTTAAATCATGCTTAATTTAATTTTTGAATTCGATAAAAAAATAAACAGCTTGTAGTTCATAAAAGATTTGTGATAGGAATAAATCATGGAAATTAGAATTATGTTGAATTAAATTAAAATAATTACTGAACATGATTAAATGATTACGTCATATTTAATCTAATTTTAAGCACAGTTGTTATAAAACTCCATCATGTTTAACCAACCTGTAGATCAAATGAATGTGTAAAATATATGGAAAAATTCAAATTATTATGTACTCGTGATTTTAAAGAGGGTATAAAATAGAAAATGATTTGTTGTTTTGCATTAAAACAATTGTATAATTATTACAGAAAATGAGAAATTGAAAATAAGTTGGTCAACGTTTTATTGGTTCATCCAATGCCCATTAATGGCATCGAATTTTTGTCAGCAATTTTAAAAAAATCCAAACTAGAACCTACTATTTCCACGGTCGTAATTTATTCCTTTGACCCTGCTATTTCCACGTGTTCTGATGACCACTGTAACCTAGTTTATATAACGGATAAATTTTCAAATTAATTTCTAATGCAAGATGAGAACGGTGTCAATGTATCGTTATTTTTATAATTAAATAAATATTATTTATATTTAATTAAATAAATTAGACAATATATAAACAAATAAATAAAAATCATGAGTTAAATAACTAGATAAACCGTTAATCATAAATTATTAAAAATAAATAATTATATATAAAGATTAATAGTAGTTATTATTTTTATTTTATATATTTTTATTTATTTTATCTTGGAGATTAATTATATCTTCTAATAATAATTTATTTTTATTTTTATAAGTAATTTTAAATTTATTTATATAAAATACAAAAGAATTAAATATAATTTACAATATTCTGTTCGAAGAATTATAAAAATAAAAAATAATTACTATTAAAAAATATAAATTAAAAAAAAAAGATGAAAAAATAAATAAATAAAAAATAGGAAATTAATTAAAATTAAAACGAAGAATTAATCTAAAAAATTAAAAAAAAAAAAAATCAAGCCTGCGTGCCTCCTAAAGCACATGTCTGCTCACGTAGTTGCTGTTTTAAATCTAAGATGTTCGAGAAAAAAGATAAAAAATAAATAAATAAAAAATAAGGCATTGATTAAAATTTAAACAAAGAAATAATTTAAAAAATAAAAAGACTTGTAATATATTGAACACAATATTAACATTAATAATGCTATATAAATAAATATTTAATGTCAAAAAAATTAAACAATATTAATATTAATTACAAGTACATAAGAAAGCTCAAAAACAGCACAAAAAGTAATACAGATTTATTAATTTTTTAATTATTAATATATTAAAAATATCTAAAAATATAAAAAAAATTAAATTTTAAAAAATTAAAATTTTTTTAAAACATTTTTAAATAAACAAGTTGTCTAACAAATAACTGGTCACCTTCTAAATCATTTTTTGTTCACTTTTGATAACCAAAAAATTCATCTCATCATTTTTGTAATTTTAAAAACTCATTTCAGTTTATTTTTACTTTAAAACATATTAAAAAATCTAATATATTAATTTTTAATTCTAAAACAACCTCTAATCTTTATAAAAATAAAATTTAAATGAGTAAAAAAACTTAAAAGATCTCGATTTATTTTTTCTATCATAGCTAGAGTGCAACACCGTCTATATTAAACTTTTTTTTAAAAAAAAACAAACTCATTAATATTATAATCAATAATTTTAGTAGTTAAAATATAAATATTTGAATATGTTTTCTTTCTTGTTGATATTTTTTTTTCAACATTGAATGACTAAAAAATATATAATATGTAGGTTTTTTGATATAACACAAGACAGAATTCACTATATATATTACAATAGTAAAAATACATTATTATCCTTAAGTTGAAACAAAAGATATCATGTTCGAAGTGTGATCTAGTCTTTTTCAAATATTCATTTGCCACTAAAAAATTATTTAGGGGCATGTTTAGATTTTTTATTTTTTTTACTATTAAAATACTATTTTACTTATAAAGTTATCAATTGCTTGAACTATTGACAAAGAGTGATTTAGTTTTTTCATAAACTTTGAAATAGTCTGTTCTCAGGGTCAGAAAAAAACTAAACTTTTTTTTTACGTTTTATGTGAAATAGGGTTGAAAGGTGAAATAAGAAAACAATAAGACCAAATAAATAGATAAATTAAAACTTTAGAGAGTCAGTTGAAGTTTTATGTGCTCAAATCTGGATGGGATATGCTTCTTTTTTTTTTAACTTGTTCATTTCCTTTTCAATTTTTTAACTATAAATAAATTTTTATTTTACAAAACTGATTTTTAATTCGTTACCAAAATATTTCTCAACACTTTATACATGCAAGAAAACGCAAATTATAAAAAAATATCAATATATAAAATCATGCTAATATAATCTGGAATAGTAAAGTTATAAATAAAAAAATGTAACTTAAATAAAAAACGTTATATATCATATGAACCATCCAATGAATAGTGATGAAACAATGCAAACGCAATTTTATAATATTCTGCAAAGGTAACCTAAATTGAAATTACAATAACAGTGAAAATAAAATAAGAATTGTTAAAAGTACACAGTAATTGTAATTGAATCTTTTTTTGTTTCGTGAAAAAAACAAACACTACATAGGGAGTGACAGACCGACAGGTTACTGTTGAATATAGAATCGTGGAAGTAGGTGGATGGGCGAGCAGCGCGTGCACAACAACCACCACCACCACTCATTACATTACATTACATTACACTATAAACTAATAGGCACGGGGGATTACTGTGCCTCCTCGATCGCAATGAAGTCTCTCTCAAAGTGAACAATTTTTCATTACCGCACTTTTTTTTTATTTCATTTTTAAATTGTCAAATTGAAGGCCAGGGTTAATTTATTAGAACAGTTGAGAATGAAAGCGAGGGGACCTAAGAACACGGGGAATAAGTGATTCTCACAAAGTTTGTGTGTAATGTACATTTCAATCCTTGTAATTTCCCAATTATACAATTTGTGATCCCTTCAATTTTCAAAAAATAAAATTAAAGATGATTTTGGTCCTAAAGTTCAATTTTCTCTATAGTTTGGGAGAATAGAGAAAAAGTGGTCAGATTCAAATAAAAAAAATTATTATTTACAATTATTAAGGCTATAAAAAAGAGATATTTTGGTATTAATGAGTTTTTTCCTGTGTGAATAGTTTATCTTATGTGTTTTTTTTTTTTTTCACTTGAACGTATTTTATATGATAGATTTGAGTCAGCAAATAACAGGCAATGTATTAACTCTTATTTTTTCAAAAAATCACTGTCCGCCTCTTAAGATTATTTAAAAAAAATAATAATGCTAAGACACATGGGATGCTTTATGCCGTCGCCCAGGTTTTTTTTCTTTTTTTCTCAAATCTTACCCATTATAATTGTTTTTTCTTCTTATTTTTTAAAATATTTTATTGATTATTAATTGAGTAATATAATTTATTTTAGTGTGGTATTTTATCTAGCTATCTCATATTTGATTAATTTTTAATTTTATAAATATCTATTTTTAATAAAAAAATAAAAATAAAAATATGTTTAGCTCAATTAAATCCACGAGTTGACTAATGAATTTACATTAATCAGAATTAAATAAATATTAATTTATTTAATTAAATATATACATGAATTTTTATATGTAATTAAGATTTTTTTAAGCAAATATACACCTGGAAAATGTCGCGGTATCGATTTTTTTTTTATTTTATCAAACCTATATAACGAAGAGCGAGTTAAATAACTAGATGGAAACCAAGTAGACATTGAACAGATGTACTGGTTTTGTTGTGGTACGAAGTACTGGATTTTTAATTTCTCATTCGATATTATTCAAGAGTTCGATACAGTAATTCCACGAGATCTGGCAACAAATTCACTCACTAATTGCTATGCCATAACTTTTTTTTTATATATATATATACATATATATATAAAAACTCATTAGGATTAGATCGAGCTAGATTTTTGCATCCGTGCTACAGTGTAAGCTGGACTCATGTTCAAGCATCACAAGCATTTTTTAAAGAAACAAAAGAATATATGATTTATATCATACTCAATATTATTAAATAAATTAGTTTAATTTAATTATATGATAAAAAATAGATAATAATAACAAATTAATCAAATTTAAAAAAATAATTATAATAATCTAGAAAAAAAATTCAAAAAAAAACAATGCAACTCAATTCTTAATCAACTAAATATAAAAAAATAAATTAAATTAAAAAAAACAAACCTTTCAAATAAATCTCTTAATAAAAGTATTTATGTTAACTTGAAATTATTTGTTCAAAGTGAAAATCAATTTCCTCATAAAACCAAAAAAAAACTGACAAGTTTGGAAATGTTTGACTGGCATAATCGAAAAACTGGATATACTAAGATGATAAAAACTAAAGTCCATGAACTCAACTGATAAAAAGCAAAATTTGGTGCACTAAGGATGCAATTTCCACAACAATCAGGGTTTTTTTTTTTTTTTTTTTTAATTTTTGGTGCCAGAACTCTTGAAGGCATCTCGCGTCATTGACCATCTTCCTAGATAAGTTGATATCTTGTTCCAAAACTATAAGGTCTTGCGGAAGAACTGGTTAATGCTTTCCTGATAGCTTAGGTTTGGAGTGAATTAGGGCTTAAATTCAGCATTTGAGTAGCATTTGTCTCTTGGATTTGCCCTAGGTTTCCATGTAGAAAGTTTACCGCAACCCTTTCAATCACCCTGCAGGGCCTTCCTTTCGTTAATGAAAATTATTAAAGAGAGCCTTAGTTATTGGGTATCGCAAGTTGTGTTCATTAAAACGCCGTTAGTAACCATCATGTATTGAAGCCTGTTCTGGGTGATTATTTGTAAGCAATCCTTTTAATTCATTGATGCATAAAATTGATAGCAGAAAACAAACATCACAAGGAAAAGAAGTATTCTGGAAAAAAACAAGCCCAGTGTAAGCCAGTGTCTTAAAGGCGGGCATGGCATGGAGAAAATAATCATGCTAGCCTGCAAAAATAGGATTGATATAAACCTTCAAACAATATTGAAACCACAAAAAAAAAAAAAAACTATAGGTTCAAGGCCTTTTGGTTTTTATCTTTTTTTTATTAATTACCGGGGTAATTAAAGACATTTTTGTTTTTTAGAATTGATTTGATATTAATTATTTTGAAAAAAGTTATATCTAAAAAACATATTTATAAAGTTAGAAAAACAATTTAAATTAATTTACTAAAATAATATCAAACATGACCGAAATTAACCAATTAAGCTGTTTTAGATCATGTAGACTACTCATGTAATGTGACAATTCATTACGAAAAAGAACTAGATAACAAATGTTACTTCACAGATTGAATTGGGGCGTCAAAGGGAGGGTGGTTTGGCTAAAGAATTACTCATGTTCATGTAATTTGTTCTGCCTAAATTAAAACCCGAGACCAGAGTCATATTAATTACTTGATACATACACATGAAAGAACAAGGACGATAGAATGCAAAGAACTATAACAATGACAAGCAGATCGATGAACAATGCTATAACTATTCCAATTACCATAACCAAGATTTAAATAAGCTGGAGAATTAGGATGAAGTTTGGAAGAAAAAAAACAAAGAGCAATGATAAACAGTACAATAGTTATTGGCTTCACTCCAGTGTCAAGACGTATGCTAGCATGTTCAACTGGAAGAAATGCATGGAATAAGAAAAGAACAATGCAAAGAGAAAATGTTCTTAAAGAAGGAAGCAAGTAATTGAACAAAACAAGAAACCATGGTTTCGTGCGATTATAAAGATTAAAAGGCGGGGATTTAAATTTCTTTAAAAAGAAAGAGGAAATGCAAAAACTAACGAATCAGCTCTCGCCAATTTTCTTCCAATCCAGGTTTTGATGCTTGAATCCCTTCAATCGGCATTGATTATATGAAGAAAACCAAGGAGTTAAGAGATTTTAGTCGCACGCAGCGTGGCACCATCACAACTTCTGAAAGTTTTGGTGGTGCAACGCTGGCGAGCGTCTGAAACCTTCCTTCCATGCCACTTAAAAATCTCGCGTCTCTCACTCCCTCCCTCCCTTCCGATTATACCTCACTCTCCCCCATCTCAATTGCATTATCTGGGAGGATTGGACCGCGGAGGGCGAGGATTGCTCTCTTTATTATCCATAATGATAAACGAATGGGACCAGATTAAGCCGTGCATTGGAGTTCATGGACGATAAAAGTCCCAGAAAATGATAACGTTTACAAAAGTGGTACACACGCGGGCAGCTACAACTGGTGACAAATGGCCTGCTTTTGCTCGTCAAGGTGTACCCATGCTGATTTATGTTGATTTTGTTTGTTGAGGCGGTTGCGTTTTAATTAAAAAGTAGTTTTTAATTATTTGATAATAAAAAAATAATTTATTATTTATAGATTTTATGTGATTTTTATGATCAAAACATAAATAATAAAAATAATAAAAAGTAAGAAATTGCTGCTTTCAATATGCATGTTAACATTAACATTGTTCATTGAACACTATAATTAACATGATCTATATACATCTGATATATTATTCATGTAAACAGTGCAAGAAATTGCACTATTCACTTGAAAAAGAAATTACACTGTTTATTTGAAAAACAATTAATAGTACAATTTACTTGCACGGTTCATAGTTTTTTTTAAGTATGTTAATTAAAAAAATTAGTTTAGACTAAATTAAATTTACTTGCACTGTGATGTGAACGATATTTTTTCTTGAAAAACTAGTATAGAGCAAATTAAATTTACTCGCACTGTAATATTAATTTTATACTTGATAATATTTTATCTAATTTTATTACACACTCAAAAAATTATAAAAACTATAGTTCTTATCGGATGAATTTTGTATGTAGAATTATAAATAGTTTAATAAAATAATAAAAAATATTTTATATAAAGTATTATTTATTTCATGATGTAATAGGAGTAATTAATTCTACAATATTTAAATTTAAAACCATCAATATTAATATATATTTTTTAAAATTATTTTTATAACCTCAATTTTAAAAGCATTCTTAACTAAACACAACAAACTATTTTTTTTAACCTCAATTTCAACCACAGTTTTAACCAAATACTTATTTTTCCAAACCGACCCCAACAAAAAATACTTTTTATAAAATAATTTTTTTCAAACCACAATCACAATAATTACCGCAATATCAAACATACATGTAGTAATAGTCCTGTGTCCTGTTTAATATTATTTGATTCTGTTCGGTGTTGTGTTTTAATTGTATTTTTAAAAGAATTTAATTTTTTTTAGCTTTAAGTTAATTTTTTTAATGTTTTTGTATTTTTTTTTAAAAGACATTGTTCACACACACACACACACACACACACATATATATATATATATATATATATATATATATATATATATTTGTTGCCTTAACTCTCCTCGCAATTGATGTTCAGAAAATCAAAGATGATACTTGAGTGGGCTATTATGGGTCTCTTTTAATGGTTATTGAGGGTGGTTTTAAGTGGGCTGTCGGTGATTGCCGGTGACTTTTTTAATGGTTGTTGGTGGCTATTTTAGTTGTGAAAGGTAGTGTTTCTTTTTTTTTTTGGATTGTTATTAGTATATCTATGGTTGTAAAGGGTGCTGTTTTTTGCTATCAAGGATGCATTTTTTTTTTTTTGATTTATGTGGGGTGTCCGGGCCAGCTTACGCGCACCACGACTAATCCCCACGGCCCACCGAACACCCTGCAAACCCAGCAGGCAGGTAAGACAGCGCGGGGCTGACAGGCATGCAACTCCAAGGCTCGAACCGGTGACAGCAGAAGGTGCAAGACGCCATTCCACCGCTGGGCGTTGCCCTGGGTGAGATGCATTTTGAGAGGCTGTTTTGTGGCTGTCAATGGTGGCTTTAAGGATGAGATGTGTCTATTATTATGTTTTTTAACGTTGTTGATAGTGTTAGAAATGTAAACATGATTAGGAATTTTGCATAAATGATTAAACCCCCGTCTTGTTTCTAATTACAGGACATGACATGTGTCACCAATAATGCAATGACTTCCATTTATATAGTATAGCATTTTATTTGGTCTTTAGATGAGGAACATGATAACGATTAGCGTCCAATTAAGAAGAAGTTTTGTTTCTTAATCTAATTGAAAGGGCTGAAGTGCTAATTGCAGGCTCCAAGGCCCAGCATATAATATGAAGAGCCGACGACTTGCAAAAACTTACAGTCCACTATCTCAGATGGATGCTAGGGAGATGGAGAGATGGAGAGATGGAGAGAGAGAGAGAGCACTCGAGAATATATATGGTGAAGGAGAAAGATTCAGGTGTCTGTGCCTTACCTCATAATTTCCTTAGCTGGCTTATTGTGTTTATCCGTGGATTAATCATCACTTGCTTCCTTAATTTAATAACCTAATTAAATCCACCTGACAGAAACATCCAAGTGAAGTTTCGTTTATCTGGAAGGAAAATCTTTTTTGTTTCTTTTTTCATTTTTCTGACTAAAATAGGGATTTGACATGAGCAACTTACTTCGTTTTTGGTGTTTCATATTTTGATCAAACAAGCGAAGAGGTTAATTTCTATAGCAATGCCAATGCCAATTGTATGTTTGTTAAGAATTTACCACAATTATGCATGGGGCATGCTCTGCACATTGTGACTACCTATTACCTACTGGACCTCCTGAGTTCGAGGATCAATGTCAATCAACTATGCAAGAAATTTTGTTTCTGGCTTCATGGCTTAACTCGACGAAAATAGCTGATCCACAACTCTTAATTGAGACTAGGAAGCTAATATTACATTTGAAATGTAATTGCTTCCATACATCTCACTGATCGAAGCTTTAACAGATCTATTATTAGTGTTTTAGCATTGAGCCCCTAATTACGGGGGCTATGTTTAGTTTTAGTAAATACTGACATGAATTAGAATTGACTAGCCTGTTGTAATGCAACAGTGCCCCTGTATTATACTTGCATCAAACACTTCATTATATGTTCACGAATCCATTTAACTCAACTCCAATCAATCAAATTACAATCTCTAACTAGCTATTAGATCCTTGTTCTCCACGTTGTTCTGTGCAGCATCAAACTTTTTGTTGTGATCGGAATGTTCTTATTTTTCTTCAATCCAAGCTATTTTTGGCATTCCTCTCCTATTTTGTCACTCCAACTCTTTGAACTGATTGCTTTCTCGTAGTGATGTATTTTTTTATGTCTGCATTGTACATGATTAGACCATCTTTTCAACTTATTTGTGTGCCCTGGTTAATTTGTATTTAAATTCTATATTTTTCTCACAGGAAGCACTGCGGTGGTTTAAGGTGCCTGTTCAAGTTATTATGTTTTATATGTTGCTTTGCTTACTGAGTAATCACCCTCGTGCACCTTATGCCTTGTATATAGCGTAGCCCATTTCTGTGTTTTTTAATGTATTTTCATGCCCATATTTGGACTTCATTTTTTTTTAAGACATGCACTGCAAAAGCTCCATAAACTTTGGCCATTGGTGCCGGTGGAGTTGGTGAAAATGACAACAGAAGTAGCGAAATTTCACTTGATAAACAAGTAATGTTGATTACCACAGACATACAACAATGGATTTCTGCTCCATACAATATTCTCTGCAACTTATATCATTCATCTGTTCAGCAACTATATATAAAGGGCATTAATAAAACCTCTTCTACTTAGAATTCTATTCTAAATCGAACACAATTTGTACAAGAAGGAAACAAACAGATTTCCTATAATATTGGGATCCATACATATCTTGCCGGTTAACATTCTTCCTCAAGTTGGTGTATAGATGTCTATATGTCCAACTTGCCAATTATATGATAAATATTCATGTTAATACTACCTTGGTGAGGACAAAAGTTAATTGATTTGTAGAGTTAACAAATGGGAAGCATATAATTTTTTGATTTAGTTTCTTTTTTATAAAATGACAATCTATTTCGACAGGTTTAGTTCAATCATGCCGAACAGGATTGTATACAATTTGAAATTGCCGGCTTATTATCACAATATAGATCAATAGAATTTATACATTTAATCTCTAAATCCTTCAGAACACTTTTGATCCATGTCGCATCCTTGCGGCGGAGCGGAGATCCTCGATTGATCTCGGGGTTTTTGTTTATTTTTTGTGTAAAAGGAAGTCATTATCTAGTATTATGGTTACTAGGAACCATAAACTAGTCTTTCAAAGATTTAAAGGAAGTCATTATCTAGTATTATGGTTATTAGGAACCCTAAACTAGTCTTTCAAAGATTTTAAGACAAGGGACTGGTTGCGTAAAGGGAAGACATTAGCACCCCTAGTACGCCCTACCTAAGGTAAGCTGCTTGGTGTTTGGTTTGCCTCATAATTGCTATGGTGTTGTTATTTTTTTTTAAATCCCATCAATTTTTCTAGGTTTGATTCAAACTAAATTTATTAAGATAGAAATCTAAGGAGATTCCATGTGCTTTAAAAGATTATTTTTCCCTTAGTATTTCAAGAGTTTGCGACTCATAAATCGCAAGGACGAGGGACAAAAAATTAGAAACCTAGGGCGCTTTAAAAGCTTATTTTTGCCTTAGTGTTTTATACTCTCATGGCTCGTAAACCGTGGAGTAAAAAAATTGAAATGTCCTCGATTATAATCAAGGCTTTTTTCAAGAATGTGTGAGGATTTATTATTTCTAAAAAAATATTTTGGATATTTACCACTCAGGGTTTCTTTATCCAAATATTAATAGTGAATAACAACAAATTATTCACAATAATATTTTGGATATTCGTCCTTTAAGGATTCTTTATCCAAACATTAGCGGTGAATAATAGATGAATTCCCCTCAAAAAAAGATTTTTATATTTTTTGGAATATTGACCAATACCTTTTGGAGTTTTACAAACATGTTGTAAAATCCAGAAATACAAGAAAATAATTTTTTTGTGTTTAAAAAATCCATGCGAAAACACATTTTTGAAACTTTCAATATTTTTTGTATAATACAAAAAAACATTCAAAACATGTTAGGGTATTGGCCGTATGCAACACACAAGAAAACTTTTAATTTTTTTCTATTGAAACACAAACATCACAATTAAACACACAAAAAAATCGCAATAAAAGCTAACCAGCCGTCATATATATTCTAAGATTTATAATAAGATTAAAGCAAATTAAAAAAAAATCAAAGCCAACTCATCCTGCGCAGACAGTAAGAACAAAAATAAAATTGGGAGCAATCACTAAAAAAAAACAATGACCGACTGATTTCTTCTCCAGCGGGTGTAAGGAAAGCAAAAGAAAAGTCCCTAAATGTAAAAGTTCCTAAACATGAAAGACAAACCCTTTTACAGCAGCTGAACTCAAACATCATGAAAGAAATAATGGGCAAACGTTGGCTTTTCTAAACTGAAACCAATTATTCAGAGGGAAGAAACAACTTTACAACTGAATGCTTAGTATACAAAATAACAAAGGAGGAGAGATTGGGGCTTATACCTGCAGCTTCTGTTTGCAGAAAATAAAACCAAAGATTGAAAGTCATAGCTCACGCGTGCCTCCTTGGATACTGGTAAATGACAGTGAAAATAGATATGCTGAAGCGAATGAAATATTTCAGCTATATGCTGGTAAATGACTGGTTTCCCCGTCGCCTGCCTCTCGACCGTTTTCCTTCCAAACTGTTGTTTTTTCTTTGTTCCTTTCTCTTTGTTTTTCTCTTCTTCTTTTTTGCTCCTCCTTTCCGTTCTCTCTTTTCTTATTTTTCTGCTCTTCTTTTTCTCCCCCCGTTAAATCATTAAAAAGGCTTATATATAGTTTAAATATGTCTTTATTTAGGAAGGATTCAATACATTAATCCTAGGACGCAAATCCCTACTGATTTGCAGTAAAAAAAAATGCAAAAGAGAAGCTACAATATTTTGATTTTGATCTTGTGCTCACGTCTGATTTCTTTCTAGTTTTAGAGGATGGTGTGGCTCTTTTCTTTCCTTCCATAGGGTCAGCTGCTCCCTTTGAAATGAGAAAACAAAAACATGGTCTTCAACTCCAAAAATCAGGTATGATGAGAAAGGAAAACAACAGGAATTTGCAGAGAACAAAAGGAAAGAAATCAGATGGAGGGTGCAGCTGCAAAGTCCTATTTTCCTTATTCGGTGTGGTAAAAAATCTTGTCATTTATGATGATCCAGACCCCTCTCCAGTTTTCAATATCCTTCTTCAATTCAATCCCTCATTTTAACACCTTTTGATTTAGCCTTGGTTAAAAAAAAAAAATCCTTCAAATCAGTCCCGCGAACTTGGGCTATATCTTTTCCACGACAGAATTTTCTACCCTTACGTTAGATATTCAAATGAAAATATCTTGAGCTTCTGATATCAAAATCAAGTTATTCAAAAGCCTAAATTCATCTACGCATCTAGGATTAAAATTTTGATGAATGAGTCGAAGTGAGATAAAATCTTTTTACAGAACAGAATCTAGCAGTAATTTAGTTGGTCGAAAGGGATCTCCGGGTCTAACTTAAAAACTGATGAATGCCGAGAATTCTGATATGATTCAGAGTATGAACTAAGAAAAAAAACATAAGAACTAAGCCAAAAATAGAGTTTTTTAGTGCAGACTCGAGTCAATATCCTTCTCGCAGCAGAATTCTCTGCCTCACGTTTGATATTCAAATGGGAACATCTTGAGCCTCTGATATCAAAATCAAGTGATTCAAAAGCTCAAATTCATCTACACATCTAGGACTACAACTTTGATAAAGGAATTGAAGTGAGATAACATCTTTTTACATAACAGAATCTAGTAGTAATTTGGTTGGTCGAAAGGGATTTCTGGGTCTAACTCAAAAATTGACGAATGCCGAGAATTATGATATGACTGAGAATATGAAATAAGAACAAAAATCACAAAAACTAGGCCAAAATAGAGTTTTTTTTAGTGCAGACTTGGGTCAATATCCTTCTTGCAGCAGAATTTTCTGCCTTTACGCTAGTTATTCAAACGAGAATATCTTAAGCTTTTGATATCAAAATCAAGCGATTCAAAAGTCCAAAATAATCTACATGTCTAGGACTACAACTTTGATGAAGGAGTTGAAGTGAGATAAAATGATTTTAAAGAACAGAATCTGACAGTAATCTGGATGGTCAAAAAGGTTCTTGATCTGACAATGCTAAGCATCCAAATCTGATTGAGAATCTACTTTAAGAACAATGGTCACTAGGATCTAATAAAGGTGTAGGTTAATTTTTCAACATGTCATGAGTGATAAAATATAGCTAGGGTGGTCAGACATCGTACAAAACCAAGTCAGAATCAGAGTATAAGTTGGAACAAAAAAAATTATGACAGCTGCAGAATTTTTTTTTCTTTTTCTTTTTAATGCAAATTCTAAGGGATTTATTCAACCTTAAAGACCAGATAAAAAAAGAAATGAATTTAGCATTATGAAAACTCCTGATCAACCTAAGAAAACTTGATGATTTTAGTAGTAAAGGGGAAGGAAAAAAAAAAATTCTTTCTCCTCTGCTTTTGTTAATTTTCTAGCAAACATGAGCTACACTCCTACACTCGATTCAAAATGGGTATACCCCATCTCTAGCATGTGGGGTCCAAAATTGAGTAACAACAATCCATAACAACTGACGAAACCACACACAAAGGAGGTTCCAATCAGATTATATATTGTTAACATGATTACATTAGTCATCTTATTCAATTAATGCTAATACTTGTAAATCTCGTCAAGCATTCATGATTATAACTTATGTTAACAACAAATCAAGTTCCTTTCATAGCTCAGGTGTCGGTTATACCATACATTATGGGCTATGAAAGTGCCAAGCATTTGTTGTACCAAGTGTTATATAACATAAATCAAGATTAGTCATTTAACAAGCAAAGTATTAAAGAGTGAACAAGATAGCAAATATAAAACATGTTAGTATCAAACATTAAAGTCCATATTAAGTTTACATTATACTTATTCTTACACCATTAGTGTAACCTTTTCACCTTGACATAATTAACTTAGCTAGACATAATGAAAGAAAGCAAAATAGATAAACAAAATAAGAACATAAAAGTTAACTAAGTAAAGGAAAGGAAATGAAAGGCATAAACTTAATATTAATGAAAACAAAGCATAAAAAATACAAAGAGAGAAAGGAAGAGCATGATCTTGATCTGGAAATCAAGATGCCTAAATGCATGGCAAATGCCTCCTTTTATAGGCCAAAAATGGGAACTATTGATTTGATGACTAATTGATAAGTGGGTGACCAACTTTTGACTTGGTGACAATCCTTATCTTCTCTTGTCTGCCCAAAACGTCATTGATAACGTCAAAATTGGAGCCAGTTGTAAACATGAAAGTTGTAGGCAATTGTCTCAGCTTTCTTGTGTAAAAACTTCAGCTCATTTGGACTTCTAGAACTCTAGATATGGCCAAAATACCGAACAGTGCTCGGGCTGGAAGACAGATTCGGGCTTCTTTGTTGTTGCTACAATTTGGACTTGATAATGGCCTTTTTTGATCTTGGGCTCCATATGAAAGTTGTAGG